CAGAAGAGGTCTGCGACCGACGCTGCCGACGTCAAGTCGGTCAAGAAGGAGAACAAGACGGAGTCGAAGGTGTCGAAGGAGACCAAGTCGGAGTCGAAGGCGTCGAATGAGACCAAGTCGGACGCCACCGACAAGTCAAAGGACAAGTAAAATCAAGCTGAATGTTCGAAATAAGTAGAAAAACGTAGTAAGCCCGCGTTGAGCTGTGTAGCGTAGAAAACTAAAGTGGCAGCTGTAAGGAATACAACGCCAATGGATGTGATCCCATTTGCCATGTTGAAGTGATATCAGTCTTCAAATTATTAGTTGCTAAGGTCGTTAGCGATGTGAATCAATGTCCGATTACAGCAGCGGTAGAGTAGAATCTTACGATATAGAGTAGAAACCAAAAATTACAGCACGCGGACGTGCAATCACTGTCAATCTGCGTGAGTTTGCAAAACAAACCTTGTGCCATCAACAAGAAGACTCATCAGTGCATTCATTCCTCTCCTTATGCAGTGCTCCGCTAGTGGAGTCGTGTACAGCAGTGGTGTAGGGAGCCTATCGACAAGTTGCCCTTGTTTGAGTATCCGTAGTAGTAGGAGGAGTGGCAGTAGCCGTAGTAGTAGTAGTAGTAGTAGTAGTAATAGTGGAAGTCACTGAAGGAATTGAAACTGTTTTGAAGTAGTAGTCCAAAAACTGCTGACGAAGTAATACAAGTGGCCGCTGTTGCTTTTTCTTGCTGCAATAATAGTACCTCGAAGTATTAGATTGTGTAAGTATTCGTGTGATCTTGCATTCTCAAAATACGTCTAATATACTTCTCCTAGACCGTGATGTCTGCATAATTACAGTTTGCAGTCTATCACTTATTGCTGACCCGACTCATTCTCTCAACGCTTCTCTCTCATCGTCTTCTCGATCAATCACAGCGAGCGAAGAAAGACAATGCCACGACGAGGGGTGACCACGATGGCTGATGCAACATCAACGCCCAGACCGCAGCTCGATCGGACTAGCCTCCTCGCTCTCTCACTTGTCATCTCGCTTCCTCCCTGACACTCGACAACCAACCTCCAGCTCCATCAACTAGTTTTGCAACTGCCCAACAAGATGCACTCCAAATTTCTCGCCATAGTGGGCCTGTGTGTCGCTGCTTCTATTCTGCATGCGACTGACGCTGCTAATAGAATGCCCCCACGTCGTCAACTCGGGTCTTACAAGGACTACGGCCACAGCCAGCACAAGCACGACCACGACCGCAAGAAACACCACCACCACGACAAGAAGGACCACCCGCACTACTACCGTCGTCGCCTGGACGGTAAGGACACCAAGGCTACCGATTATAAGGACACCAAGGCTACCGAGTCTTCGGACTACAGCTACGGCAAAGGCGATTATTATGGTCACGGGCACGACCACCAGGGCTATGGCCATGATGACTATGGTCACGATGACTGTGGCAGCGATAGCTACGGCCACGATGATTATAAGCACAACGGCTACGGATACGTTAGCGGCGACGACTACAAGGGCTATGGTAGCGGCTACAGCTACAGCTATAAGAACTATGGAGGCGACTCCGACGACTACTACGGTCACGGCAACGACTACTACCCTGATTACTACTCGTCATATGGTGGTGGCAACGGCAACGGCTACTACCCCGACTACTACTCGTCGTACAATGGTGGGTATGGAAATGGAAATGGATACTACCCGGACTACTACTCTTCCTACGGCTACCCCAGTTACGGCGGCTACGGCAACTCCAACTACGGGTACCCGGGCTACTTTGGTTATGAGTCGACCACAGCGAGTGTCGGTGCTACTGGTGACGAGAAAGAGTCTGCGACTGCGAATGGTCAGAAGGAGTCTGCGACTGTGTCTACGGACGCTGCCGACGTCAAGTCGGTCAAGAAGGAGAGCAAGACGGAGTCGAAGGCGTCGAAGGAGGCCAAGTCGGACGCCACCGACAAGTCGAAGGACAAGTAAAATCAAGCTCAAACCGTGTGAGAAAAGTAGTATATGGGTGAAAGACGTTGTAAGCCCGCGTTGAACTGTGTAGCGTAGAAAACTAAAGTGGCAGGTGTAAGGAATACGAAGCCAATGGATGTGATCGCTTTACCATGTTAAAGTGACATGTGTCCCCGAATTATCAGTTGCTTAAGTCGTTTGCGATGTGGATCAATGCTCCGATTGCAGCAGCGGTAGAGTAGAAGCTTACGATATAGAGTAGAAACCAAGAATTACAGCACGCGGACGTGCAATCACTGTCAATCTGCGTGAGTTTGCAAAGCAAACCTTGTGCCATCAACAAGAAGACTCATCAGTGCATTCATTCCTCACCTTACGCAGTGCTCCGCTAGTGGAGTCGTGTACAGCAGTGGTGTAGGGAGCCTATCGACAAGTTGCCCTTGTTTGAGTATCCGTAGTAGCAGTATCCGTAGCAGTATCCGTAGTAGTAGAAGTAGTAGTAGTGGCAGTAGCAGTAGTCCTAGTAGTAGTAGTAGTAGTAGTAGTGGCAGTAGTCGTAATAGTAGTAATGGCAGAAGCCGTAGTAGTAGTGGTAGTAGTGGCAGTAGTCGTAGTAGTCGTAGTAGTAGTCGTAGTAGTAGTAGTAGTAGTAGTAGTAGTAGTAGTAATAGTGGAAGTTACTGAAGGAATTGAAACTGTTTTGAAGTAGTAGTCCAAAAATTGCTGACAAAGTGATACAAGTGGCCGCTGTTGCTGTTTTTTTGTTGCAATAATAGTACCTCGAAGTATTAGATTGGGTAAGTATTCGTGTGATCCCAAAATACGTCTAATATACTTCTCCTAGACCGTGATGTCTGCATAACTACAGTTTGCAGTCTATCACTTATTGTTGACTCGACTCATTCTCTCAACGCTTCTCTCTCATCGTCTTCTCGATCAATCACAGCGAGCGAAGAAAAACAATGCCACGACGAGGGGTGACCACGATGGCTGATGCAACATCAACGCCCAGACCGCAGCTCGATCGGACTAGCCTCCTCGCTCTCTCACTTGTCATCTCGCTTCCTCCCTGACACTCGACAACCAACCTCCAGCTCCATCAACTAGTTTTGCAACTGCCCAACAAGATGCACTCCAAAGTTCTCGCCATAGTGGGCCTGTGTGTCGCTGCTTCTATTCTGCATGCGACTGACGCTGCTAATAGAATGCCCCCACGTCGTCAACTCGGGTCTTACAAGGACTACGGCCACAGCCAGCACAAGCACGACCACGACCGCAAGAAACACCACCACCACAACAAGAAGGACCACTCGCGCTACTACCGTCGCCGCCTCGAAGATAAGGACGCCAAGGCTACCGATTATAAGGACACCAAGGCTACCGAGTCTTCAGACTACAGCTACGGCAAAGGCGATTATGGTCACGGGCACGACTACCACGGCTATGGTCATGATGACTATGGTCACGATGACTGTGGCCGCGATAGCTACGGCCACGATGATTATAAGCACAACGACTACAAGCACAACGGCTACGGCTACGGATACGTTAGCGGCGACGACTACAAGGGCTATGGTAGCGGCTACAGCCACAGCTATAAGAACTATGGAGGCGACTCCGACGACTACTACGGTCACGGCAACGACTACTACCCTGATTACTACTCGTCATATGGTGGTGGCAACGGCAACGGCTACTACCCCGACTACTACTCGTCGTACAATGGTGGGTATGGAAATGGAAATGGATACTACCCGGACTACTACTCTTCCTACGGCTACCCAAGTTACGGCGGTTACGGCAACTCCAACTACGGGTACCCGGGCTACTTTGGTTATGAGTCGACCACAGCGAGTGTCGGTGCTACTGGTGACGAGAAAGAGTCTGCGACTGCGAATGGTCAGAAGGAGTCTGCGACTGTGTCTACGGACGCTGCCGACGTCAAGTCGGTCAAGAAGGAGAGCAAGACGGAGTCGAAGGCGTCGAAGGAGGCCAAGTCGGACGCCACCGACAAGTCGAACGACAAGTAAAATCAAGCTGAAACCGTGTGAGAAAAGTAGTATATGGGTGAAAGACGTTGTAAGCCCGCGTTGAACTGTGTAGCGTAGAAAACTAAAGTGGCAGGTGTAAGGAATACAAAGCCAATGGATGTGATCGCTTTACCATGTTAAAGTGACATGTGTCCACGTATAGAGTAGAAACCAAGAATTACAGCACGCGGACGTGCAATCACTGTCAATCTGCGTGAGTTTGCAAAACAAACCTTGTGTCATATACAAGTAAGACTCATCAGTGCATTCATTTCTCTCCTTATGCAGTGCTCCGCTAGTGGAGTCGTGTACAGCAGTGGTGTAGGGAGCCTATCGACAAGTTGCCCTTGTTTGAGTATCCGTAGTAGTAGTAGTAGTGGCAGTAGCAGTATCCGTAGTAGTAGAAGTAGTAGTAGTGGCAGTAGCAGTAGCCGTAGTAGTAGTAGTGGCAGTAGCAGTAGCCGTAGTAGTGGCAGTAGTCGTAGTAGTAGTAGTAGTGGTGGCAGTAGTCGTCGTCGTAGTAGTAGTAGTAGTAGTAGTAATAGTGGAAGTCACTGAAGGAATTGAAGTTGTTTTAAAGTAGTAGTCCAAAAATTGCTGACGAAGTAATACAAGTGGCCGCTGTTGCTTTTTCTTGCTGCAATAATAGTACCTCGAAGTATTAGATTGTGTAAGTATTCGTGTGATCCTGCATTCTCAAAATACGTCTAATATACTTCTCCTAGACCGTGATGTCTGCATAACTACAGTTTGCAGTCTATCACTTATTGTTGACTCGACTTATTCTCTCAACGCTTCTCTCTCATCGTCTTCTCGATCAATCACAGCGAGCGAAGAAAGACAATGCCACGACGAGGGGTGACCACGATGGCTGATGCAACATCAACGCCCAGACCGCAGCTCGATCGGACTAGCCTCCTCGCTCTCTCACTTGTAATCTCGCTTCCTCCCTGACACTCGACAACCAACCTCCAGCTCCATCAACTAGTTTTGCAACTGCCCAACAAGATGCTTTCCAAATTTTTCGCCATAGTGGGCCTGTGTGTCGCTGCTTCTATTCTGCATGCGACTGACGCTGCTAATAGAATGCCCCCACGTCGTCAACTCGGGTCTTACAAGGACTACGGCCACAGCCAGCACAAGCACGACCACGACCACAAGAAACACCACCACCACGACAAGAAGGACCACCCGCACTACTACCGTCGCCGCCTCGAAGATAAGGACGCCAAGGCTACCGATTATAAGGACACCAAGGCTACCGAGTCTTCGGACTACAGCTACGGCAAAGGCGATTATGGTCACGGGCACGACCACCAGGGCTATGGCCATGATGACGATGGTCACGATGACTGTGGCCGCGATAGCTACGGCCACGATAATTATAAGCACAACGACTACAAGCACAAAGGCTACGGATACATTAGCGGCGACGACTACAAGGGCTATGGTAGCGGCTACAGCTACAGCTATAAGAAATATGGAGGCGACTGCGACGACTACTACGGTCACGGCAACGACTACTACGGTCACGGCAACGACTACTACCCTAATTACTACTCGTCATATGGTGGTGGCAACGGCAACGGCTACTACCCCGACTACTATTCGTCGTACAATGGTGGGTATGGCAATGGAAATGGATACTACCGGACTACTCTTCTTCCTACGGCTACCCAAGTTACGGCGGCTACGGCTACTCCTACTTCGGGTACCCGGGCTACTTTGGTTATGAGTCGGCCGCAGCGAGTGTCGGTGCTACTGGTGGCGAAAAAGAGTCTGCGACTGCGAATGGTCAGAAGGAGTCTGCGACTGTGTCTACGGACGCTGTGTAGTGTGTGGCAAGCAAGGAGGCGTACCTCAGCGGCAAGGAGGCTATTCTGAATCAAGAACCCCATCCCAAACTACAGCGTCGTCTATCAACATGAGGTTGCAGTCTTACTGCACCCCTGGTGCTCGACTCTCAAGGCTTTGCCTAGGGTGAAGCCTTTGGTCCTGATAGGAGTAGGAGGAGTCGAGTAGAACGCAGGAGCAGGAGTTAGTCAAAAGGAAGCTCACTTCTTAACTTGCAATCAACAAGCACCAGCATTTCAGCAACGCAAAGCGGTAACTACCACAAAGTATACTTTAGTCCTAAGGGACCGCAAGCATGGCAACCAAGTCACATCAGTACGAAGCTGATGGGGACACAGTGATGAAGTCTGTAAATCAACCGGTATTCGAGTTCGTCAAGGCGCCGTGGTTGAACGACTGGAGTCATGATGCATTGGTCAAATGGAACCAAGCACGTGACCAGTACGAGGAAACTATTCGGCAACGCTGTTTTGAGAGTCGTGAACGACCCGAGACCGTGATGAAACCAGTAAAATCCTCAATCGACCGGAAGTTGCTGGAGGTGGTATGCCTCTACGAGTTACGGAAGGCTGTGGATAACGTCAGCAGTGAGGAGCTCCTCATGCTGATTAAGCAGCGCATTGGTACTGTAAAGAACGAGCAGATCCCCGACTTGGACGAGTTGTTCAAGAAGAAGCTGAAGATCGACTTGGCAGAAGATGATATCGATGCTCGTGTACTACGCTACTACCGTGATTTCTCCTCCATTATTGAGAACCATGGTTTAGGAAAAATACTTGGTGTCGGAGACCCAGATGCAGAGGGTTTTGCTGATCGTATGAAGTTACGATGCACCATCTTGATCGACAACCTTGAGCCTCGTATGGTACGTGATGATGTCAAGCGACATTGCAAGTATGAGTGCAGAGAGGCGAAGAGAAACGATTTCATGCTCTTTAACATCATTAAAGAGAAGGCACGGGCTCAGCACAAGTATCACTTACTGTCGATGGAGCACAGGTCCAAATCTGGACCTAACCGAAGGTCTAGCCATAATGAAACGAAGACTAAAACCGGTAGTGGAGAACAGCATACTGCTGTGGAAGCCCGTAGAGACGGCACTCAGCGGAATTCATTAACGACTAATACTGGGTCTCAACCCCAGAGAAAGGAGTCAAAGCCACCCAAGACTGGCTGCTGGGTCTGTCAAGGCTCGCATTGGCTTCGTGACTGTCCGACAGCGACGGATGACGACAAGAGACGTGCTGTCGACAAGATGAAGGAAATAAAGGACCGGTCACGAGTTAAGGTGGTTCGGACTTTGCCTCAACCAGGGGAAGTGATGATCAACGAGCTCGTGGTCTTGCCGTATTGTGCTGACTCAGGATCTGACTCAACTGTTATCCCTCGTGCAGTGGTCGACGAGTTAGTTGCACTTGGTAGCGGTGTGGAGATGCATGTCCTACCCTCTCCAATTGAGGCTATCGTTGCTGGAGGTTCTACAGTTACCTGTTTTGACTCTGTTACGGTGGATGTCGTGCTGCAAACGGCAGCGGGTACTGTGAAGCTACCTGACGTGACCTATTTGGTTATGGAGGGTGAAGAGACCGATTTTCTTCTTGGTAACGACACGCTCGTCTCACTCGGAATTGATGTAAACCAGCAACTTGAACAGCTGGCTGGGGGTTCACTTAGTGAAGATGTGGACCCATTTGAAGACGATGGATGTGCAGATCTCGAGCTTTCTGGTTTGGAAGCTCGCAGTAAATTGAAAGATATGGTGGTCGCCGCTGGGAATAATGGTTTTGACGCTGACTATCTCTCTTTTCTTCACGATACCGTGCTGGAGTATGAGGATATTTTTCGGATTGACCTGGGTGCTGGTCCCCCTGCCGACATTGAACCACTGCGAATTCAGTTGGTGGACGGAGCTGTGCCTTTTAGAGCGCGTTCACGGCGCTATGCCAATACCCAACGCATTTTCCTTCGGGACTACACGAAGCGGCTCGAGCTGATGGGCTTTATTCGACAAAATAACCAAAGTCATTGGGCATGTGCAGCTGTGCCTGTGGCAAAACCCAAGTCACCAGGTGATTTCCGGATGACAGTCGACTATCGCCCTGTAAATGCACTGACCATACCGATCGCTGGAGCAGCCCAGGATGTGACGGATTCTGCCGACGAAGCGGCCGGAGCTTACGGTTTCGCGGATTTCGACATGCCAAAGGGATTCTGGCAGCTTCCTCTACATCCTGACAGCCAGGAAATGATGAGTTTTGTTACGACCGATACGGTATGGACACCTACGCGCGTTCCACAGGGAGCGAGTGATTCGGCAACGCATTTTCAGAACGAGATGCAAAAGGTTTTTGCCGGGATGCTGTACGCCCACCTACTTGTGTGGATTGACGATATTCTCGTCTATGCGGACGATGCGCCTACGTTTATCGCTACACTTCGTGAATTTTTTTCTATTGTCCGCACTCACCGGCTGAAACTCAGCGTGAGTAAGAGTTGTTTGTTTCAGAAGGAGATCCGTTGGTGTGGCCGCATCTTCAGTGGCACTGGCATTCGCCATGACCCTGAACGCATCAGTGCGTTGCAAGCCCTTCCTCTCCCTACTACAGCCGCTGACCTCCAACAATTTTTGTGTGCTGCTGGGTGGATGCGCGATACGTTGCTCGACTTTGGCCGCACCATGCGCCCGTTGCATGACAAGTTGGAGGCGGTTTTGAGTGTTAATGGGCGAACTAAGAAACTAGCAGCCGGGGTGTTTCTTTCGTGGACTTTGGACGAAGAAGACGTGTTCAACTCCGCAAAAACCCTGCTTGGATCCTCGCAACTGTTGCATTTTCCGACGACGTCGTCCACAGTGGCCGTGTTTAGTGACGCCAGTGAACTGGGGTGGGGGCTCGTCGTGACTCAAGTGGATGACTGGGACTCTGCATTACCTGCTAACGAGCAGCAGCACCAACTTCTAGTATGCAAAAGCGGAATTTTCGACGAGACGGAACGTCGGTGGAGCATCATTGAGAAGGAAGCGTACCCGATCATTTGGGCTGCCCGCAACCTGGGCCATCTTCTCGTCCGCCCTTCAGGCTTCAGGCTGTTCTGCGACCACAAGAACCTGATCTACGTGTTCGCACCAACACACGAAGTTAAACGTCACGTGCGTGGCAAATTACAACGGTGGGCGTTATCTCTCACTGGTCTTCACTACCAAATCGACCACATCGATGGTACGGCGAACGTGTGGGCCGATCTACTCTCGCGGTGGGGCTCTTGTGGTGAGGCAGGGGTGCACGTGAAGTGCAAATTCGTCACGCGTAGCCAGCAACGCATTGACGACGCGACTGAACGCCAACTTGACGAGCTGCGTCCGCGTCAAGGCGACTTTGTCTTTCCGACCTTGAATGAGATCAGCCAAGTGCAACACCAACACAAGCGGAATGCACCCAGAGCAACGGTGTGCGATCACAATGGCATTATGACTGTCGACGGAAAAATATGGATACCAGAGTCCGTGAAGGAGCTACGACAGCGCATTCTCATTGTGGCTCATTGCGGTAGTCAAGGACACCGTGGACTTGACGCGATGATGACTACAGTCAAAGACCTTTTCTCGATCAAAGGCCTGGAGCAACATCGCCGGCAATTCCTGAAGCGATGCCTTCTCTGCAAACACGTGAAAGGTGGTAATGTGATTCCTCGCCCCTGGGGGCCTACATACGACGCATCTGAGCGAAACGAGATGCTCCACTGGGATTTTCTTTTTCTTGGTGACAGTGTGGGTGAATGCAAGTACCTACTCGTAATGAAGGACGGCCTTACTCATTTTTGTGAATTGGTGGCTTGCGATTCGCCAACAAGTGTCGTGGCAGCCATTTCACTCATGGATTGGTCGAAGCGTTTTGGTCCGCCTAAAAATTTGATTTCCGATCAAGGAAGCCATTTCAAGAACCAGGTTGTACAGCAACTTTGCAAACAGCTCTCCATTGAACAGGATCTAGTTCTAGCCTACGCTCCGTGGATCAACGGTACTATCGAGCGACTGAATCGAGATGTGCTGCAAGTTCTACGTGTTTTGCTGATGGAGATGAAGCTGGACACGCATGAGTGGGAATATCTCGTTCCGGTAGTGCAAGGGATTCTGAATCACACTCCAGTGGCTTCATTAGGCAACCGGTCCCCTGGTGAGCTTTTCACCGCGTTACCTAGACCTACACCATTTGAGACTATCGTAGTTGAGCGCAACGGCAAGGCCATGATGGTGACTGAGCCGGTGACTATTCCTGACGAAATGGTGGAGAACATGCAACGAAGTCTAGAAGAAATGCACAAGGAGGTGGTGGACATTTGGGAGCGACGTCGGTTGCAGAACATGAGCCGCTCTAATGGAGTACCATGCAATTTCACTATCGGTGATTTTGTACTGTGGTCAAGGATCGACTCTCGCCTTTCGGTAAACAAACTACTCGCTCGCTGGGTGGGACCATTCGAAGTTGTCGAGGAGCACCCTCATTCCTATATGATTCGCCACTTGGTGAGTAGCCAACGCTACATGGTGCATGGATCCCGGCTCAAGTTCTACCGTGACGGAAGCCTGGGCACCAGCGAGGAACTCCTGGCCCATGTCGGCAACCAAGGTATGGTCCTTGGTGTCGAAGATTTTAAGGATCACCGCAAGACCCAACATGGATGGCAGCTTCTCGTCTCCTGGGTCGGTTTGCAGGACGAAGAAGACTCCTGGGAATCTCTTCAGAGTCTCTACAGTGATATACCTACGCGTGTGAAGAATTACGCAGCTCAAAGTGGCGACAACGAGTTTGTACAGTCCCTGTCGACCTTTCAGCAAAATACCAGAGCCTAATTCGACGTGTAGGTCAAGTTATGGATCAACTTCAACGTGTTGCAGTGCAACTTGACCTGTAACACTGTCCCGTCTCATGTATGGACTGTTTTTTCGCAACCGGTGACAGATTTCCATCAGTCGTGACATTTGGTGACATATGTCTTTCTGACTTGGATTTCCGATACTTGGAGAATTTTCA